GGGTGCAGAACCGCGAGGACTGATATTTTCACGAATGTAAGAGCCCCCGTGCTGGTGACAAAATGCCCAGGCACAGTCGCAAATATCGCAAGAAAACCAACCCAACCAACCAGTAGACAGGTCTTCGTGACCAGCTGCATTGCCGCCAGGTTTTTGTTTTGGAGGCAACGCCCCGCACGGGGGCGGAGTCGCTAGGACGGAAGAGTTCACGCAGGCAAGAGTTACTGTGCCAGCAATTCAACGACATGTACGTCAAACATCAATCAAGCGCGCAAGACCGCCGGCATCTCCGCCCGGGTGCGACCTGGAAGCGAAGGCCTCGAGGCAGAAACCTTCGGACGGATAACCCCACGAAAGAAAAACGTGTGTTGCCTGCGCAAGAGGCCCTTTCACAGTCGCATGCATTGCGTCAAAACCAGCTAGCCGAAACACACATCTGCTGCTCCTCCTCCTCCTCCTCCAGCCGCCGCCGCGGCGCGGGCGCCCCGCCCTGCGCGGCTGCTGCGCACGTCAGAGGCACCCCGTGCCGCGGCAGCGATGGTCGCTTGCCTGCGGGGCCCGCGGGCGTCATGATGGGGGTGCTGGGCGTCGCGCCCCCACGGTCGCAGGCTCCTCGCCGTTTGCATCAAGGGCATCATCTTCGCGCGCTACATGACGCATAACGACGACCACCCCCCGCACTCGCATAGGACGTTGCGGGTGGTCTCTTACAACCCCATGCGCATGCGCGGCACCAGGGCCGAGGAAATTTCGACTGAGTTTTCGAACATGGCCGCAGTTTTGCTGCGGGGGGCCGCCGGGCGGAAGGGAGAGGACGGTCACAGTTTGTTTCGTCGCAAATCGCACTATGAGATTTCTGTCGGGTTCTCGAGAGCATCGAACAAGGCTTGCGGGACTAGCATCATGCTTCACGAGAAAATTCTTCTGCAGAAAATGCACCCGCCCCCCGCGGGGTTTGCCGGTCGTTGTGGCGCGGCCCGCCTGAAGTCTGAGTCTCTAGATTCACTCTTGGCTGCGATGTATTTTCCTGTCCATAGAGCGAGAGAGGACGGCGGGCCGAACACCGACAGCTTGTCCATCGTCTAATTGCATGGCTTCGCCATCCCCTCTCTTCCGCGGGCGCGCGCTGCACGCCGGCTCCGGGAATTAGTCTGAACGAGGGGCTCGGAACATCTCGGGATCTGGCTTGGGCGGGCGCCCCCTATTCCAGCCGCCGTCGCGCAGGATGACGAGTCTGAGGCCATCGGCCCCTGCGGCGCCGAGGTCTAGGGCGCGGCGAGGCGGCTCTGGCGCCAACTGTCGATTGACCATCATTTGCGCATGCAATGCGTTTTTCCCTTGGGGGCTTGCTTTTTTGGAACTGCAGGGGCTACATCGTGTGAGCTGCCAAATTCTTCATCAGGCAGGGCGACGGCTGCAGGCAATCAGCGCGCTGGACGACCGAGGTCACCACCCGCTACACATCGAGTTTTGACATCGCTGGGACTTTGACAGGACCTTGGCGGCGCTTACCAAAGGGCGGGCACGCGCGGAGGCCATCGAGCACATCCATGCTTCTGTGCTCGCTATGGCCGATGACGACTGGATGAAATTATGCACGAGGGCGACTCCGGATGAGGCATGTGATTGCATGGCTTCACTTATTACTAATTCATATAAGGACACACCCGAGTGCAAGACGAAGGAGGATACTGAAGTCTCGGATCTGGAACCACGAGGTTTCAACTACTACATCTAAGGGGATGTTTCATTGGCCAGCCGGCTGCCCACCGAGAGGGCGTTGAACTGCAGCTGGCTAGAGTGACTTATTGTATCAGACGCGCATCGCGCACGCTCGCCAGACAGAGAAATGCCAATCTCACTGCGGAGTCGAATCAAGCTGGGAGCGCCCATGACCACTTCACGGTTCAGAAACTGATCCGCCGATTCGCCGGGAAGGGGCGCGGCCCCTGTCACAGACGCTACTTCGCTGCGCGCTCTGAGCAGGTCGAGGCACAGGATTTTGCGGATGTATTGCGTCGGCCCGCGGCCAATGGCGGTCTCGGCGCTGTGTCCTGCGATCCTTCCGCCAAATTGCTGGGGGGCTTTGATGAACGAGGGCGCAACGACGATTGGGGCGTCAACTATGAGATTCGGTACAATGCCATGCAGAAGTGAAATCTGGACGATGCGACCACAGATTCCTCCGGGATTCCTAAGCTGCTCGGGCGCGCCCCCAAGAGGCCCGCCACCCCTGCCTGGTCGGCCCCTTTTTCCGATGTTTGGCTTTTGCTGCTTGACGAAGGGAAGTGGGAGTAGTTCCAGGGCGGCGGACTAGGATCGGACCTGCGACCCTTGACAGACACAGCCTTCATTGAACGCTTCGCGGACGTGCTGGCCTGTTTCCGCGGGGCGCAGACGACGTCCTTGATCTTCGACCCCCCCTCTTGCGCGGGGCCCGACAAGCGAAATGGCCTGCCTGGCGTGGAGGGCCCCCGCTGGATTAATTTCAGTTGTCCTCCGGGAAAAGCATGGAACTCTCATTCGTGGGTTCGCGCTCGCTTTCATCGCGAGGCTTTGTCTTATGTTTGCCGCGGCTTTGCCAAGAAACGCAGACGAGAAGATGCCATCGCCATTCGCACCTGCACCTCCTGGAGACGACAATACATTGCCCCCGCATACACACCACCACCACCACCACCACCACCACCACCACCACCACCACCACCACCACCACCCTTCCCCCCCCCTCCCCCCCCCCCCCCCCCCCCCCCCCCCCCCCCCCCCCCCCCCCCCCCGCGTCATCATCAGCGAGGACGCGACGAATGCTTTCTCGAGCGTGTCTCGCGACGTGATTTTGGATGCGTCCCACCTGCCTCATTTACCTGGGGGCGTCCGTTTTCAGATTCAAAGAACTGCCGCGAGCGCCGTCCAGATTGCGACGGGCAACGCCACGATCGCGATTCCACCGACTTCTGGGGGCCCCATGGGCCCGATGGGTCATCCAAACGCCGCGCGTGTTTTTTCTGTTTATTCATAACAAAAAACTGAAGGGCTCGGAGCCCTCCTGCGCGGCCAGGGAGCACGCGCCTTCCCAGGCCTGCGCAGCGGTGATGGAGCCGAGCGGGCTGCGCAGCGACGCGGGCATCTCGCTGTTCGCCGATGACATCGCCAAGCTGGCCATCGCAGGTCGGACTCCGCCACCCTTCAGGGGGGGGTGCGACGCTCGCGCACTGCCGGCGCAGGCTAGGGCGAGCGGCGAGCTGGGCGAGACCGGAGTCTCGCTCAACCCGAAAAATGAGTCTCGGCGGTGGCCCTCGTCGGCCCTGGCTCGGTGTCTCAGAAGCACCCCCATCGCAGCGGGGCCCTTGAGGCCCCTGGGAGGGCACGGCGTTTCACGCGTATCTTGGGCGGCTGGGTTCCGGCGACGGGGCCCCCCAGCGTCGAGAAACAAAAACGACTTCAAGTTGGCCGGGCTGGCTTGGGGATGGTATCCGATGTTATTCGGCGCCTTGCTGTCTTGAGTGTTAAACGTATGTCTATGATTGCATGTGTGCAAGCCGCCCTGTCACCAGGAATGGTAGCTCGTGTTCCCGATAAGTCTTTCTGCGAGGATGTCGGCGCAATGCTCTTGCAAGCTATGAGACGAGGTCTGGGGGCTCAGGGGTCGGATCGCCGTGGCGATGGCGATTGTCGTCGCTGGTCCCCGGCCCGCCTGGCTGCCCGCTGGAGGACGCGGTCGCGCGCTTCCGAACTGCGAGCGCTCCGTCTTAAGTGGCATCAGGATTGGCGTCGGCATCCCGAGGCCCACAGTCAGGCGCGCGCGAGTTTCTTGTGATGTTTGGGCGCGTAACGCGTGATCTCGCCCTCCTGGGGGCTGGCCTCGGAGGCGAACCCTTGGGCCGCCCAGGCGCTGAAGGACCGGAGTCGCGCTCGCGAGGTTTCGGAGGTATCCCAGGAACTCGTTCCCTCGGGATACCCACTCCTTTGGCTTTTTTTACGACGACGAGTTCGCGAGTTGGGCCGATCTCGATTTCACGGCCCTCAGGGCACAGGCCTCCTCTCGCGCCGCCCCCCCCCCCCCCCAGGATTCGCTCAGGTGGTGAGGGGGGGGAGGGCGACGACGCGAACGACAACATATGCCACTTGACGACGATCGACGGTTCTGTCTGCGGGGAGGGGTTCGCGCCTTGGAAACAGCTGCTGCTCCACGCGGGCAGGGCCCACCACGTTAGGGACGAAGCGAGCCTGCTGACAGTGACAAACCAATGCTTCCGTTGCTTGCGAGTCCTGGGGTCTCGAGGGACAGCGCAGCGACACGTCGTGGGATCTCATCGGAGGAACGGTTGATCGGTGGGCCGAAGTTTTTATCTCTTGCGACGTCACTGCCCCCTCCACGCCCAACTGCCCCGTCTGCGCCCGCGAGGCTCAAGATCTGCTGGGCCCGCAAGTGCACATGCAATATCATTGCAACCTTCCGCCGCCAGTGCCGTCTCGTTCTCACCTTCGCCCGCGTCTGCCCGATGGGGGCGGGCCTGAAATCGCCGCTGGCCGGGCGAAGGGGCGCGAGGAGGGGGCCGCCGCCTCGTCGGGGGAGGAGGCGCCAAACAGGAAGAATAAGCTCTGGCAACTGGCAGACGACGCCGACGACGACCTCGTCGAGGTCGAGGGAGCCCTTCGGGGCAAAGACATGTCAAGCGCCCTTTTCCTTGCCCCTCAAGATGAAGTGCCAGCGCGCGCAGATGCTGCGGGACTTGGCGGCGCCCGAGTGGATCTCGCCGGCGCTGCCAATCGACTGCTGCATGGCCAGCGCCGCGAAGGCGGCGGGCAAGTCCCACGCCGAGATGGCCGCAGTCCAGGAGCTCAAGGCAAAGCTCGGACCCCCTTCATCTGTGTCTGTGTATATATATATATATGCATATGTCGATGTATATATGTGTATATATAGAGAGAGAGAGATAGAGAAAGAGAGATTGGGCGCGCCGCGTTCAAGGCCATGGCGGGCAACGAGGGGGCCGAAGGGTTGCTGGAACCACGCGAGGTCGTGACAGCAGGCTACACGAAGTTCCTCTCCGTAGTATCGTTGGAGGACCAGGTCCTGGTCATTTGCCACTTTCGTGTTCGGCGATGCTACAACGAGAAGTTCATGATGCTCCAGTTCAGTATGGCGGGGGGCTTCCAGATCGATGGATCAGACCTGGCGAAGTTGCTCCTGGAGCAGACCGAGATCAGGATCCCTACGCACTTGGGAGGCCGCTTGCAGCTTGGATCGGCGCCCGTGGGCCACCTCGAGCAGATGGCCCAGAAGCGATTGGATCGGACGAAAAAGGGGACCAGTGCAGGGAGCAAGCGGTGACCACGTCGTGGGAACAGCGTCTTGCATCACTTCGACGGCGTATTGCCGCCAAGGAACGCCTACATAACCTTTTTAAATGGATCGGAATTCCTCGCTGACCGTTCGCTCCATATCTTCATATTATGTTCCTCGGTGCAAGATTGTGTTGGTGATGCATTCTTTGCTTCGTGATACGGTGTCTGGTACTCTATTGGGCGATCACTAGATTTCAGTATCCTATGTCACAGTCGTCTGCGACATGAGCCGCTTCGCCCCCGAGCTCGGCCTTCCGACCTGAAGCCTTGTTTTTGTTTTTGCGAGTCGTGCTTTCAAGGTTTAGTACTTCGAGCGGCAGGCACCGTCCGCTGACCGCTACCTGCCCCTCCCCCATTCGCCTTCGCTCTCGCTCGTCGTTGGTTACCCGGGTCCTGGCGGTAGTGTGCGCGGGTTGGGGGTTTGCCCCCGGGGCCCCTCCTCCTGCTCGCGTTCCGTCTGCTCCCGCGTCGCCAACGCTGCTCTGCTTCCCCGTGGCAGGGCGGTCCGAAAATATGGTTCTCGGGCGTTCCAGGGGCCTGTCTGGTGCACCCAACCCCTGTGCGGCCCGAGGGTTTTTCCGCCCCCCGCCCGCATGTTTTCGTTTTTTGCATCCCGTCCCGAAACTTTGGTTGAGTTCAGGGCTGCACGGTGCGCTTTACCCTGACCTCGTAGCTTATGCCCGGAGGCACGCAATGTCAGAGGTTCCCCCGAGCGCCCTGTGAAGGCGTCACTGTTCGAGGGGGTAAAGATTTTCAGCCCCACAGCGCAAAGCCGAGGCTAGTCTAGTCGTCCTCCTCCTCCTCCTCCTCCTCCTCATCCTCCTCCTCCTCCTCCTCCTCCTCCTCCTCCTCCTCCTCCTCCTCCTCCCTCCTCCTCCTCCCTCCTCCCTCCTCCTCTGGCCACGAGGCGCTGCCGCCCGCGCGCGGGGGGCCGCCCCCGCCCCCGCCCCGCGGCCGCCGCCCTCCCTTTGGGGCGCGGCCCGGCGGACTCGCCGTGCCCGGGGCGGCCGACGGGGCCGCGCGGTGATTCTAAGAGCCTTTGTTTTGTGGTTTGCGCGAGGTGTTCTTAGAGCATATATGGCTGGGGGTGTCTGGTTTCAACACATCGGGTTCATGTTCTGGAACACTGTTTCGTTTTTTTGAACATTTCTGGGTTAAAAAAAAATCGTGGCAGGCTTATAGGAATGCCGGGACGGTCGGTCCCTGCTCAACTCTCGAAGAGACATCAACATAAACTGTTGGCGGTCCGCACGGATTTGTTGCATTTGCGGTGGCCCCCCCCCCAACGGCGCCTCCGGCGCCGCTCCCATGGCGCATTCCGCGCGCCAGGGAGGGGGGTCCAGCGCAGATCCAGGCCATCCGCGCGGAGGGCCAAGAGTTTGTGTTTATGACGTTTTCTCTTCTACTCTCGGCGCCAGCGCCGACGGTCGGAGGCGACGATGGGGGCGAATTGCCCAGGAGGGGGGGGGGAAAGGACAACACCAAGGCCCCCTCGCGTCGTGGGAGAATCGCGTCAGGAGTGTTTTCCCCCACCGGACAGCTTGGGGTCTTTAGATTTTAAGAACAGACTTCCCGGCCACTCCCACCCTACATACCTCGGCCGCCGCCCGACCCCAACTTGTCCCGAGTGTCCCGGTTGTCCCGCCTCGCGCCCTCGACAAACACGCCAGAACACATCCTGCATACCGCGGCCGCCCGACCCCAAGTCGTCCTGAGTGTCTCGGTTGTCCCGCCTCGCGCCCTCGACAAACACGCCAGAACACACCCTGCATTTCGCGGCCGCCAGACCCTAAGTCGTCCCGAGTATCCGGGTTATCCCGCCTCGCGCCCTCGACAAACACGCCAGAACACATCATGCATACCGCGGCCGCTCGACCCCAAGTTGTCCCGAGTGTCCCGGTTATCCCGCCTCGCGCCCTCGACAAACACGACAGAACACATTTTGCATACGGCGGCCGCAAGCAAGACCTCAAGTTGTCCCGAGAGTCCCGGTTATCCCGCCTCGAGGCAGAAGACACCCTGCATACCGCGGCCGCCCGACCCAAAGTTGTCCCGAGAGTCCCGGTTATCCCGCCTCGCGCCCTCGACAAACACGACATACAGTATGACACAACATAACATGACAGAACAGACCAAAAGCATGACAGAACATGACAACACATAATATATCAATATCAAGATTGAATAGAGGACACCGGCATATCACATACTATACCAGAGCAGAACATGACAGATCAGAAAACGGCATGACACAACACAATATAACATAATCGAGGACACATTGACAGAACACATCATATCATGACACAGCGTCACCATATAGAAGGCGACAGCAGAGCATAGCGGCGAACACGCCAGAACACATGTTGTCACACCATAAGAAACCATACCATAACGCGAGCATGCCATAACATGACATGGCATGACATGGTGTAGCAATATCATGACAACAAAGATCATGGCATAACATTACATAACGCATCATATCAGTATAACATAATGCGACATAGTACAACATACCATAGCATAACCGAGGAACACATGCGACACCTTGGCAGAACATCCCATATCATTGCACTTCATCGCATAACACAGCATAACACGACAGTGTAGCATATCGCCACGTACTAACAGATCAGGTCATCAAATTTAGAAGATAAACTTGCGACCTGGCCCGGCCGCCGCGCTGGCCGACGCCGCCGGGCAGTGCGCACATCCTTCCAGTAGAAATGCGCACCGGTGGGACCAATCGCCGAAGGTTTCGGTGGGGATCGCTCGAAACAAAATACTGTTTTGCCATTATTCTAGCCTATGGTGGCCCTGCCTCCGAAAGCGACTCGGGATGGAGAGCCAGTCGTGGGGAATGAATGGGTCGAGACCTCTCGGGGTCAACGTTGCGAAACATGAATGACGTCGGGGGTCTGGGTACATGTATCCAGGGGCGCCTGTGGTCCATGTCTTCGGTGAGACTCCCGGAGGGTTATTTCCCCAATCAGAGCTTGCCTCTGTAGGGGTCTTAGCGGAATCATATGGTTAGGTTAACTGCGTCGCCGATTTCGGCGGCACGCCCGGGTGCCCGGGTGCCCGGGCGCCCAGGAGCTGCGTCGCCGATTTCGGCGGCCCGCCCGGGTGCCGGGGTGCCCGTGGCACCCGGTGCCCGGGTGCCCGGATGCCCAGGTGTTCGGGTGCCTATAGGTGCTTGGGTGCCCGGGTGCCCAGTAGCCTTATAGCAGTCTTGCCCTATAGCCTTATAGCCTTGTAGCCTTATAGCCCTATAGCCCCATAGCCCCATAGCCCAACCCTGTAGCCCACTAGCACTATAGCCCACTGGCCCTATGGCCCTATATCCCTATAGCCTTATATCCTTATAGCCATATATCCCTATAGGCCTTTAGCTCTATAGCCTATGGCCCTATAGCCCTGTAGCCCACTAGCCCACTGGGCCTATAGCCCTATAGCACTATAGCCTTATAGCCGCACAGCCCTATAGCCCCATAGCCCTATTGCCCTACTGCCCTGTAGCCCTATAGCCTTATAGCCATATAGCCCTATAGCCTTGTAGTCTTATAGCCCTATAGTTCTATAGCCCTTTACGGCCCTATAGCCCTATGGCCTTACATGCCTGCAGCCCTATAGCCCTATAGCCCAATGAACCCATCGGTGATGGTTCTAGAGCCCTGTAGCCCCTACAAAGATTATGAATGCGGCTTCTCTCCGGTATCCTATATATATATATATACACGCGAGATTTCCGCCCCTGGGCTGCCCATTGTCGCCTCCGAGACGGGCTCGCCGACGTTTTCTCGGCGCTCCTCCACTTCTGGTGTTGCCCACTGGTGGCCCTGGCCAAGGCGTCCCGCGGCTTTTCTCGCGCCACTCTGGGGCTCCCTTGAGGCCGTCGGGGCCTCGCGAGGGGTGCAGCGGAAGCGCGGGGAGAAGTCCAGGGGACAGCTTGCGCCAGGACCGTCTTTGGCACCGCCCGACTCCTCTCCCCTCCAGCGCCCAAAGCGCCCCCAGCCGTTCGCGCCCTTCTGGAGCCCCATGGCCCCGCGAGGGGGCCCTGGAGGCCATGTGGGCCTCCCGCGAAGTCTTGGGCGCCGCGCGGGGCCGGCGGTGCCGCCGCGGTGCGCGCCGCGGCGGGGGCGTCGAGAAATGCGGGGGGGGGGGCCTCGGGCAACGCGAGGGGGCGGGCGGGAGGGGGAGGGGGAGGGGGGGAGGGGCAGGCTAGGTGCGCTAGCGTCACATCTGACGTTCTACCCCTCCCTCCCATCCAGCACCATGTCGTAGATCTCCGATCTATTCGCACAGTCGGATCTCGAGCAGGGCAATGATCCCAAGCGGGTATAAGATGGATGGAACGCCACGGCGTAGAAGACGAACGGCAGAGCATAGCATGTCATAGCATGGCGTGGCATTGCGTAGTAAAGCATGGCATCACAAAGCATAGCAACGCAAGCATGACATCGCACAGCGGTGCACAGCACAGGCTCGCAGTGCACACGTGCGCTGTTCATTGTGCGAAGACGGTGGGGTATGGACCTGCGACGACGCGCCATGAAGTGACTTGGATCCAAGACTCATGTGAAAGGCTCGGGAGGAGGAGATGGGGCAGATTAATAAGCATAAGGCCTTGAGAAAGCAAAGGAGGAGGAAGGCCGGGCTGTCATTGACAAGCCCCACAGGTACGAGGTGGATAAACATCAACAAGGGCGACGAGGCCAACCCTGTGCAGCGACCCCATTTGGTGGAACAGCAGTGCACGTGCAACTCCTAAGGAAAGAACATGTGCATCCACCTCCTCCATTGGAAACTCGAATGCTGCTTTTCCCTATGTACGCTACTGGGGGAATAGGGCATGCCCGATGGGTGGCGCGAGAGAGAAATCACACTTGGTTTCATACATGTAAAGCGCGCGTACACAACGTCTTCATGAGGTTATTCGAAGAAGACCGCTAGCCAGGTATGTGTGGAAGACCGCTGAAGCTAATGGACGGCGCTAGGGGCGCCGCCAGCAATCGGGTAGGCGTTTGCATGGACGGTGCGCGTGCCGTCGGATACGACAACGGAAAGCGGCATCATGTGTGTGTGTTCGCAGCAAGACGAGCCGAATTTCGCGAACGGCTCATGCAGGTGTATTTATTTGTTCCGGTGATGATGTTGATTCTGGCTGGTTCGATTTATAAAGTAAGCATGAAGTCGAAAGTAATATATGGGGGAGACTGGGACCAGGGAAGAGAGACTTGCAGTCAATAGGGAGTCCCATCGGATTGTGGAATCAGCCTGGGATTGGTTACGGCATGAGGCGGACCAGAAACATGCTGAGATCTTCGTCGAAGAGTGAGTTAGATCATTTTGCATGGCCGATTGGATATTCATTCTCGGATAAGGAACTGGCATCTCCCATGTCGGCCCCAATCCGAGTGGAACGGGCAAAATCCCACCAACCTGTGCTAACCCTTCAGGAACCACGACAGATGCGAGCACCAGTGTATCAAGCACGCCCTGGGAAGTTAACTACATGGGCGATCACCGAGTTTACAGGATGCATGGGGACGCGGACATCAACGGTCGGAGGTACGGTGATGTGTGGGTCACACACATTTGAAAGCCGTGGAGCTTGTTTCAAAGCGTGGTGGTATCATCGTCGGGAGAGGTGGACTATTTACGGAATGGCGAAAAGCGTTTGTTTGAATGGCCTTTGGGTTGAATGCAGTTCGCAAGGATGCGGAGGCTGACTGTGGCATCGCGCTAGACAGCGATGCGAGTGCAGCCGCTGCCACTGCTAGTAGGCGAGGGCTAGGACAAGTCAGACACGTCGGAGTTCAAAAGCTCTGGATTCAAGATAAGTTACGGCGAGGGACCTCAAAGGGATCAAAGCGGAAACTCACGAGCATGTGGCAGATGTTCTGACCAATCACGCGCGCAAAAACAGCAGGGTGATGCATGGAAGAGACTCTCACCAACAGCTTATTAATGGAAGGTGCGAGCCAGCGCCAGCTAAGAAAGTCCTAGCCCAATCCAATCCATGCCCAGGCTACCATCGCACGCCGCTGTGACGGTGACTTGGGCTCAGAACCACTGGACATCCAGGGACCCGCCTATGCGTTTGTAAGTTCCATACGACATAGGGTGCTAAACATACGGCATGACTCGCTGTTTCGCGGCTCTTAACAATATTGTATCGCGTGTTAGGAGGCCACCGTCCGTGGACGCCCAACTCATAGCCGCCCTTTTGTCTGCACCAGGTATGTTTTCAACAAGTTCATTATATAACCTGGCACCCTAGGATGGAGCCCGCCAGACTTCGTTGCACTGCCCACTTTCTTCGACATCGTCCGTTACCCAACCGCTCTGTTGTTTATATAAAGCCGTTTTCACATATTTCTGTTATCAGTCGAAGGGGGGGCGTTCGATTATATCGTGTTTGTTTGGCGAGCAGGTGCGTGACTGATGTGCGGCATACAACAGGTAGGCCGCTATGTCAGGAAATGGGGTGTTCACACAATGTTTGCCGTTCGGTTGTTTGGCTCGAAATTAATGTTTCTTCTCGGAAAGTTGGCTCTTGTCATATACACACACGTATGTGTATATATATATATATGTATATTTCGGATGTTGGGGGGTTAGATCGCAGTGGAACGGAGACCCCAAGCCGGGAAATCGTTTCGTTTCGTTGGTGTCGTGCGTGCGAGCGAGGCGAAGCTGCGTTTGCGCGCGAGAGGAATGCACCCAATTTTGCTCCTCCGTCCGTCCGTCCGTCCGGCGGTGGCTCGCGGTGTCCCGCCGTGTCCCGTGGTGTCCCGTGGTGTCCCGTTGGTATCGATAGTAGGATCGATAGTGAGGTCGATCGTGATATCGATAGTGATACCGGTTCTAAGATCGATACTGAAATCGATGTGGTGCCCCGGGTTGTCCCGTGGTGTCCCGCGGTGTCGCAAAAAATGAGATCGATAGTGAGATCGATAGAGAGATCGGCAGGAGTCCCATGATGTTCCATTGTGTCCCGTGGTGTCCCGTCGAGTGAGATCGATAGTGAGAAACATAGTGAGATCGATATTGAGATCGATGTGGTCTCCCGACGTGTCCCGTGGTGTTCCGTAGTGTCCCGTGGTGTCCTATGGTGTCCCGTTGAGTGAGATCGATAATGAGATCGATGGTGAGACCGATCGTGCGATCGCCCGGTGTCCCGCGGTGTCCCGTGGTGTCCCGTTGTGGCCCGTGGTGTTCCGTGGTGTCCCGTTGAGTGAGATCGATAGTGCGATCGACAAGTGTCCCGTGGTGTCCCGTGGTGCCCCGTTGATTGAAATCGATAGTGATATCGATTGAGTGAGATGTTGGTTCCCCCTCCTCCCCCCCCACACAACCTCCTTATCATCCGAAGGGTGGTTGTAAAAGTGTATATACACATATATATATATATATATATATATATAGATCCACGACTGAAAAACAGGGCGACAAGGGAAACATTTGGACGATCATGAGGATGACGAGGTGGCAGGGAAGCGTGGGATAAGTAGGATCATGTGTTTCGCCATGGCGCCGTAGTCATGAAAACGACGTTGTGGACGGGGATGCGTTATGGAGGTGATGACGGTGATCATGATGTTGAGGACAGTTGTGATGGGCATCGCGAGCAGCACGACCGTCATGATCATGGCGATTGAGTTGGTGATGTTGATGTCGATGTTGCTGCTGATGAACCCGATGGAGGTGATGATATACATGGTGGAGTTACACATGATATGTATTTTGATGACGGTGATGGCGATGGCGGTTGTGACGGTGGCGATTTCAAAGTCGACGACCACAACGACAATGTTGTTCATGATGTTGAAGATGTTGATGTTGATGATGATGTTGGCGGCGATAGGGAGATTAGGATGATGGTGTGGGCGCGGATGAGCCTGGTGATGATGATGAGGATGGTCACGATGACGACGACGGTAATGATGCTCATAATGAAAATCCATAGGTTGATGAGTATGATGAGGATGGGGATGTTGATGGCACTTGGCGATGGTCGTGGTGCTGGGTTTGAGATTTGTGGAGAGGGTCTGGGCGATGATGTGAATGGGGTTGGCGACGGTGATGCTGCTGATGCTGAGGATGCATACTCTGAATCGTGTATGTATCAGGGGGTATCAACCTCCCGACTGAGCTTGCCCAATCCCGCCCCTTCCGTCCTCCTCCGTCGTTCTGTCGTCCTCCTCTTTTTCCAACCCCCTTCTCCGCCCGTGCCAACAGCACGTGCCCAATCTCCTCAGCGGGTTCCAAGGGGAGTAGGATTATGGTCTCATCCAGGGTATGTTGCTTGTAAGCATGATAGGTGTTGTGGTTGTGGTGGTACTGACGATGATGATGGTGATTCGTGGGATGATGATTCTGATTGTGGTGATGATTATTATGGTGGTGGTGGTGGTGGTGGTGGTGGTGGTGGTGGTGGTGGTGGTGGTGGTGGTGGTGGTGGTGGTAGTGGTGATGCTCATGTTGATTCAGGGGAGCTTGTGGAGGCGTGAGAGGCGGAGGAGCAGGTCGCGGAAAAGGAGAGGGAGGAAGAGGCGACGAGGAGGAGGATGAGAAGACGTGCGTCGTTTGTGCCTTTCTCCCGCGGGGACGGATTGGTCTCTCCTTCGGCTCATGGGCGAGCAGCCCCACCCGATGCCCTCGTGGTGTCGGTGTCCTGTTGCGACTTGGAATACGATGACATTGACGATGGCGACGAGGTTGACCATGGTGGTGGTACAGTAGTGATGGGGACATAGAGGAGGGAAAACAGGAGCAGGAGTGTGATGAGCAGAAAGAGGACTGTTAGAACAAGGAAGACGTTGATGAAGAGGAGGGGGAGGAGGATCCGATCATGGAGGTGGAGAAGGAGGAGGAGGAGGGGGAGGAGGAGAGGAGAAGGATCAGAACAAGGAGGTGGAGGAGGAGGAGGAGAAAGTAGAGGAGGGGGAGGGGAATGATGAGAGGGGGGAGGACGGAGGGGGATGGAGGGGGGAGGACGGAGGGGGATGGGGAGGAGGATGAGGGCGAGGGGGGGGTATTTGGAGTGTGGGAACGAGAGTATTTGGAGTGTGGGACGAGGGCGCGGATTGTGACACCGACGGGTAGGAGGAGGAGGGTGAAGGCACCGTTTGTCTCAGATGTGCAACGTCCGCGGCGACTCGGACAACGAGTCATGTTCAAAACATATCGGCAGGAATTGCTGGTGGAGACGAGAAGAAGGTTACCAGAGATCCCAGCGGTCCTTGAAAGCCTCGAGATGGCAACAAGGACCACAAACGTCCAAAAGAGCTATGCAGGCAACTGATGCTAGTAGTCCTGCACCCAGACACGGGCGATTAGAAACAAACTCCTCCTCCTCCTCCTCCTCCTCCTCCTCCTCCTCCTCTTTGTCATCCTCCTCCTCATCCTCCTTCTCGGGGCATCAGCCACTGCAAAGGGTCGTCGACGACGGCGGCGGCGACGACAACGACGAACCCCGCGGCCGGCAGGCCTGGGCTGGCGCGCGGTGCTTCGCGCTCCGATGAACGCGCCGCCCTCCGCCGCCAAGGGCCTCTACAAGCAGCTGATGCTGGTTCTGCACCCGGACACTGGCGGTTGGGAAAGAATATTTCTTTTCGTCGTCGCCCCTTCCTCGCAGTCGTCGTTCTCTGTCTCCTCCTCATCATCCTCCTCTTCCCAGGGACTGGTG